TTCGACGCGCTTCGTAGACCTGGGTTCCGGCGACCTCCTTCAGCAGAGTGAGTCGGTCCGACTCCTTCATATTCGTCAGAGCCGTGACACGACCTTGGGGCACGATGTAGTAAGGATTTGACCTCGAGAAACCGGCTGCCTCGAGCAGGTTGACGACATCGTTCTTGGTTACCACTTTGCGATCGACCGAGTATTCGTCCTTCTTCGTTCCGATAGTTCGGCGCAAAATGACCTCCTTGCCTCCCGTAGGAAAACGTTCGTCGCTGTTGTCGAAGATAATCTCGACGTAAGCGGACATGACAGCCGATCCCGATCCTTCGTGCAACAGCGCCTGACGCTCCTCGCGGGTCATCTGAGTGTAGGCATCGCTTAGAACGAAGCGGATCGCCGCGAAGAAGTTACTCTTGCCAGACCCATTGCGACCGACAATGACATTGGTGCCGGGAGAGAAGGGTTCGATAACGGTTTGTTCCTTGTAGCTATCACCAAGTCAGCGGGGCGTGAGCCGGTAGTGTTGTCGCAAAGTGCGCACCTCTTGAAGCCCTGGATAATGATCTGTTTGATGTACATGGTCGGGGAGAGGATCGCGGCCTCTAGGGCGGCGAATTTGCGCGTGTGAAGTCGCTGATGGTATTCACGGCGTGTCGCGCAATATTTGCATCGATATGGCGAGGAGTCGTGACCGATCGTTGTCAATGGTGGGGATGGACGACGCGTCCGGAAATCGCGAAGTCCTCTCTGCGTCGGGCGTGGAAGGTCACGGCGCGTCTAATCTGGGGGTGCGTCCACTCATTTGGGAGGCGGTGTATGCCTGAGGATGAAAGTGAACAGTTAGCAGTGTGCGATCACACAGTGCCAAGCAACCGCACTGTACGCGACTATGTTCGCAGCTGGTCGTACAAACATGTCCGCAAGTCGCGCCGCTGTTGCACAAGACATTTCTCGCCTGCATGATAATGCCAGTGATTGCTTCTTTAACTGACGGGATAGACTCGGTCACGTCATACTCAGTCAACATTGTACGTCTTCTTTCTTGGTACCGCATACCGTTAAGAAGCCTCGTTCTAAGAAGCCTCGTTCAATCAGAATATGTTGGGCCAAGGCTCATGAAGTTGGCGCTTACCACTGGGTGTGTTTTTGGAGCCTTTTCAGCTCCCAAGCTCTCAATAACTCGGTTGGCTATTTGAGTCGGTATTCGCCGTTCAGTTGGTTCAAGCATGGGTATATGAGCGTTGTGAAACCTTTAGTGCCCGGTTACAACTTTGCATCCGCACTGCAACCGCAATCTTTGGGACATGGATCAAGTCACACGACTCGACCGCGCCACTGGTTAAGTTCTCTTGCGGCAAATTGATCCGAAAGGTACAGACGCGTATCTCGAGCAACGAGAAAGTTTACCGATGGGAACATCTACATTATCACCAAGACAGCGCGTGTCAAGCGTTGATTGTGGAGAAGCGTGGCTGTCAACCAGTCCTTCTTTACAAGTTGTGAGAAGAAAGACTCAACGGTTCCGATACTTTCGCGTTGGCCTTCGTATCCGCCTGTGCACACGCAAAGTTGTCTGTGTCTGAAGCGCCCGGGACCAAGAAAAACCGTGATGTGCAGCGATCGTGTGAGCATGTTGGTGTGCCTGAGCAACGTTCATGACACCGAGCGATTAGCTAGGAGTTTGAGCTCCAACATGGATAGAGCTGGGACCGTCCCATCTGCACCCCGGTCGAGTCGCTGGGAAGCTATGCGCACGGATCACAAGCCGATGCAGAGTACACGTACTCTTCTCAGCAATTGGCGGAGACAGCCACGTTGCTACGTGGTAAAGGTGTTGGCGAAAAGGAAGGAATCGAGACGACTCACTCCTCGAGTCTGAGATCCGGAGATGGAGAAGGGCGTTCCAAGCCGGCAGACAAAGTGGCGTCTATTGTAGTTGCCAATGAACGGCTTCTGAATTGCCCAGTTCGTTGCCGGGGGGGGTCGAGAAATGGCAATAAAGCCAAGCGTCAGGGGACTAGGAAAGCCGAGGGGGCAAGACACTCCAGTATGTCGCCCTGGAACCACGAGGGATGGACGGAACGGGCGGAGCGCAACTGACACGAAATGAGGCTATCGTAATCCGAACCTGAAGGGATATGCCGGTGGAAGACGGCAGCGGGGCAGTAGCATCAGCGGAATGTCGACTACCTAGCCAGCCTCCTGCTAATGACCACGGCAATAAGGTCTTTGGGAAGCTGGACATTGATGACCCAAGACGAATCAGAGATGGCGTGCCGCTGGAACGCCAGAAACTTGGGACCCTAGGTGGCTACGCCAAGATTCCCAACCTTACCCCACGTCTCCTGTCAGCCGAGCCAGCTTACTTCCCATTCGAGGCATCGGCCAGGACTGGCCGCAGCTGCACCAGCATGCCTGCGATGATCCTCGCGCCGGCGTGGTTTGCTGCACTCGTAGCCCGCCATCTCCATCGCTGATTGACCCATCTCATCTGTCACCAATCGGCCCATCCTAAGCAATCAGTCATCCAGTGATGGTTCGCCTTAAAAAGCTCAGTCGTCGGAATTCCTAGTGGCGCAAGGTCTTGAGAGGTTGCCCGCTGCCCAGTGCTGCTCATACTTCGAAAAAGTCGCCCTGTCTGTGAGTAGCGCTGGTTCAAACTAGTCTTCAAGGGGTAGCCCGGCCTGAAAATCCCTAGGGCCAGCTTAAAAGCCGTAGACCGATCTGCCCAGCCAGCCTGCTTGGATGCGACGGATAGTCTGGGTTGGCGGCCGTTGCTGAAGAGCGTTCCAATGTGGAGGAGCTGAGTGCTCTGATTGAAGATAACACCGGACTCAATCTGTCCATGGCAAGGAGGAATGACGGGAGGCACCACCGAGAAGAAGTTACTGAGATATGCCGTCCGTTGGTTTGAGTCCAAGAAGATTGAGACACCAAGGCAAGCCCGGCAGCCGTTTTACTCAAGGGATAGGATCGGAAATGGCACTTGGATACCATGGTGCTAGTCCTGACCCCCCAGCAAATTGATGATAGTCATTAATGATGATGAGGCCCCGTTTCTGGAAAGTGCCGAGCAGGAACATTGGCGTGGGGATGAATCCCACCCAGAGACATCAGGAAACTCAAACAGAAAAGCCCTGAGGGTACTCGGAGACAAGCGGAAACATAGGTGAACAAACTGTTTCTGTTTTCCCAGCGCGTGCGTGCGCTTGCATGTGTCTGCCTGTAACGTCGAGAACGACGAGGCCTATTGAACTTTTCATATGCTTCATTCGGCCATGTGCTGGGGTATCATCGCGATTGCAGGCTGTTCAAGATGCGCAGGGTGAGGGAATCGACGAAGAGTCGAAGTGTAGACGGAATAAAATGGCAAGCGTGCCAGTTGGTGCCGGACCCAACGGCGATGGAATGGATGATGGGATTGATGAAGATGAGGACGAAATTGATGAAGGGCGAGATTCTGTCGATTCGGCATCAGGGGGGGGGACCAAGATGAGCACGGCACGGGAATATGTATCGAAAGGGAGAGATGGACGAAAAGGGACGATGACATGGAAAGGCGGCCGGCGAAGACGACGACGACGACAGGTTGCAGCCAGGCCTGACAGGGTTTATTGTTTGCTGGGGAGTGGAGGCGGACCAGGGACGCTAGACGACGCTAAGGAAATTAAGCGAGACGCCGTCGCTGCGTGAAGGAACGGCTGGCTTTCCTTCCATTTTTTTTTCTCTCACGGGCCCACGGGTAATTATAAAAGTACTGCAGGCATGCCTTTAAGACTGTCCGGGCCCCTCCACCCCAAATTTTCCCTCCAGAGCGACGTCCCGCGCTGCCAGAGGTGCTGCCCTTTTGACGAGACCCATCATCCCTAGCGCTTCATTGGCCCCGTTCTACCATCTTGGTCAGCACCGCAGGCACCAACGGCACCCAAACCACCAAACGCGACCGGTTTTCGAGGCCACCTCAGGCACTGAAACTCGCAAGCACTGAGGTAAGTTCCATTGGTATCTCCTACCCCGTACGTACCTCAGGCAGGCACCACGCGCATCGCGCACTGCATTCCCGCCTACGCACCTGGCTGGCACTGCATCCCCCAATCTCCAATCGCACATATCTAGGCGCGCCTCTTCCTTCCCACTTTAAGGCGTCATCCCTCTCATCCTATCGTTCGGAGCCTCACCCCTTTTATAGGCGTCGGTTTTTTTTTTTTGTGTGTTTTTTTCCCACCATCGACGCGGCGGATTACCAGCTTCATACCACTTCTGTGCAGCAACCCAGGAAATTCACAACTTCCATCGCTCCTTCGATCAGATTCTTGCGGAGACGCGTTTCGCCGACCACATTCCACGCCTCCATCCTACTCTTTTCGATTTCGCGCCCCATCGCAGAACTTGCAGCAAGCTGCGACACGACGCGGCGGCATCATCTGGATCCTGTTGATCCCGATGTATGCATGGTAGTCGCATCTTTTCATTAATACTCGGCTTGATCCGCAGTGGACAGGATCGCGATTTGCATCCGGCCCCATCGCCGTTACCCGCTTGCCAAACTTCGGTACGTACCTCACATCCATTGCGAATGCATTTCATCGTCCGCCCCGATACGTTCATATTTATGCTCTACCTTCATACCCTCGCACCGTCCTCCCAACCCGTCGCCCAGCCGTCATTGGCTGTCTCGGACCGGCACATCCTCCCGTGCGCTCTACCCGCACTCTACTCACTATGGAGATCATCCCAACGTGGACGCCGCTTCCCCGACTGTCATGATTCAGCCTTCACTCCAGAGTGCATCATCTCTGTTTGGGCATGGCGGGATGGCATACACCACGTGTTTAAACTTCGACGACCCTCTTTCCTACATTACGTCTCATCCATGCGCTCATGCATCCAGCTGTCGTGTTCCTTCATCTTCCCTCGAAACCACAGCGGCTTACCCAGAACTTGGCTAATACCTATCGCAGAGGCTCAATCTGATGATGAAACTCACATCAAATTCATCATAATACAAAATGGCGTCGAGGTACGTTTCTCCTATGATCCTTGCGCGATCATTCAGACCCGATCAACCCAGAACTAGCACTAACCTTGCTGTAACAGACTTGACAGATTGGTCACGTGAGTCAAAACACATGGCCTCCTGCTTACATCCTGGCAATGCAAATACCCCTGCTTGGCTCATCTCATTCATGTTCAGACTCGGGCAAAGCTCTGACGATGTTCATTGTATGAGCGCTGAGCTATGCCGCTGCACCAGGCGTTGTGTATGTTTGATTGCAGAGCCGCCTGCTAACCGCTTCCGCGCAGGATTCTCGAAACGGGTAGCACCCGTCTGATTCGTGACACCGCAGTCAACCAACTTGCCGACTGGCAAAAGCAGCATCCTGATGAGCTTTTCAACCTTCTTTCCAGAGTCGTCCCTTATCTTCGACACAAGGATTGGGAGACGCGTTCAACAGCGGCCAAAGCGATAGGCAAGATCATCGAGAATGCGCCCTTGTACGACCCGAATGAGGATGAGGACGCTGCGCCAGTCAAGAAGGACGAGCCCGAGGAGAACGGTCACGTTAAGAAGGAAGAAGAAAAGGAGGCCCTGTCCTTCTCTTCCGACGAGCTTCTCAAGCTGGAGTCGTTGAATGTAGAGCACATTATCAAGTATGGCCGCCAGCTTCTGAGAGGTGGCAATATTGAGTATGCTTTGGCCTCATTAGACCCTCCTGCACGACTTGCCCACCAGAAGAAAACGCTCAATGGACGACTCGGTCTACTCGGCAGGGTGTTCGAGGACGCTGAGATGCCCGTAGTTGTCGAGAAGGATACCAGCCCACTTACCCCCAGGATTCAGCAAATGGCCATAACGGAAACAAGGAGAGCGCCACCCCTCACGGGCCCAACCAGCCGGCAGAGGAGTCGGGTCTGAGTTCGAGACAGCTCAACGTCCTCAAGAGGAAACGCAAGAGAGAGCTGCAAAAGGCGGCACAGGGGAAGGGCGGGTTTGGAGATCTGACCATGAGAAGGACAACGACAGCAGGTTCCGAGGGATTCGACGAAACGCCAATGGCAGACGCCGACTCGAAGCAGAAGAACGGAAAAGTGAACGACTACTTCAATCTGGATAGGCCGACAGATGTTGATGAAGACTCGAAGGTTGTCAGCGAGTTCAAGGGACAAGTGATACCGATCAAATCTGAGATTGAGGTAGACGAAACCATGGAGGGCGCCGAGTGGCCGTATGACCGGCTGTGCGATTTCCTAAAGGTTGACCTGTTCGACCCCTCCTGGGAGACTCGGCATGGAGCCGCGATGGGCATTCGAGAGGTCATCCGTGTTCACGGAGGTGGAGCTGGCAGAATACGCTCCAAGTCACGGGCGGAAAACGATCGGTTGAATCAAGCTTGGCTGGACGACCTGGCCTGTCGACTATGCTGCGTCCTGATGCTGGACAGATTTACCGATTATAGTTCGGACACGTCTGTCGCCCCAATTCGCGAAACCATCGGCCAGTCTCTTGGCTCAGTTCTGCGACACATTCCCGCAGAGTCAGTCCATGGCATCTACAAGATCCTTTATTCCATGGTTATGCAGGACGATCTGCACCTTGATATGCTCCAGTGGTCAGTTTGTCACGGCGGCATGGTCGGCCTGAGATACGTCGTGGCGGTACGGAAGGACCTGCTCCTTGAGGACAATGAGATGATCGATGGAGTTATCCGTCTAGTCATGAAAGGACTGGAAGAACACGACGACGACGTGAGGTCAGTGAGTGCCGCGACACTATTACCTATGGCAAAGGAGTTCGTCACCCTGCGACCCGGATCCATTGACGGTCTCATCAACATTATGTGGGGAAGTCTTGCCGATCTGGGAGATGACTTGAGCGCCAGTACTGGCAAGATCATGGATCTTCTCGCGACACTCTGCAGTTACCCCGAGGTGCTACAGGCCATGGAGACCTCCGCCGCCCAAGACGAAGAGCGCTCTTTCACCTTGTTGGTACCGCGTCTGTATCCCTTCCTTCGACACACCATCACCTCTGTTCGCCTAGCCGTGCTGAAGGCTCTCATGACCTTTGCCAATTTGGGCGCCGAAAACTCGCGAGGATGGCTCAATGGAAGGATTCTGCGCCTAATCTTCCAGAACATCCTTGTCGAACGGGATAGAGAAACACTGGCCATGTCTTTGGATGTCTGGACTGCCTTGGTTCGCTCACTTTCCAAGACGCCTGAGATCTTAGCCGATGAGTTCGCCGCTCACGTGGAGCCTTTGATGAAGCTTACACTTCACCCGATCGGCGTGTCACGGCATCCCTTACCCATGCCCGCCCACCTTTTCCAAAAGCCCTCAGGCGGCACGTATGCGCCTGTTGTAGCAACGCCCGCGCGAAAGGCATCTTCTCCCGAAGGACCCGAGAGAGCGACTAAGCGTCGTCGCAAATCTGCGAAGACGGATGACGTCCCTGTCACCTCTCATACACATGACGTTGACGGCCACATGATCCAAGGAGACGTGGACCTAGTTGGCATGGACACTCTGATTCGGTCGCGCGTTTCGGCAGCCAAGGCCATGGGCTTGGTTATGTCCTTCGTTCCCTCCTCGCACCTCGCTGAGTACGACCAGCTTCTCCTCGCTGGTCTATCCGACAAGGCGTCTTCCACACAGCTCACAGCTTGCATGGTTGTTGACGAGTATGCCAAGAACGGGCCCGTGACTGAGGGTGCACAAAGATTCGCGGCGCCCCTGCAAAAGATTATTGAGACGGAACGTCCTGGTCATTACAGCGACCTCGTCAGCTATATGCACAGGGTACGGTCGCAATGCCAACAACTCCTCAACATGTTCCGCGATCACGGCAAGGTATCGAGCGGACGGCTTCCGACACTTGCCGTTCTTGTTCAAGGCGACGAGCAAGCAGGCCCTGGCGCCTTCTCCATCGCTGTCGCGGATAAGGTCGTTGGCGAAGACTTTGACAAGCTCAAGAAGGTCATGTCGCCAGGACAGCGTTTGGTCGCCAGCCAGATGCTCAGTGAAGCCAGGGAAGTGGCTGTCTCGGCGATTTCTGATGCAAAGGCAGCCAAGGACTCCCGAGATGTACGCATCAGAGCCGGCGCGGCTTGCGCATTGGTTGCGATCAAGGCTTTGCCTAAGAAGCCCAGTCCGTTGATCAAAGGTATTATGGACAGCATCAAGACGGAAGAGAATCAGGAGCTCCAAAGTCGGGCCTCTGCTACCATTGCGAGACTCGTCCAAGTGTTCAACGAGATGGGCCGTCGTGGACCAGCCGACAAGGTTGTTTCGAACTTGATCAAGTTCTCTTGCGTCGAGGTTGCAGAGACCCCCGAGTTCCCCGTTCACGCCAGCAAGACAGACTGCGTGCTTTCAATGCAGAAAGAAGAGGACCGAGTCGACCACGCAGACGCCGCCAAGTGGGCAAAGGAAGTCAAGGCAGCTCGCATCACCCGCCGGGGAGCCAAGGAGGCTTTGGAGATACTGGCTCAGACCTATGGCGCAGATCTCCTCACTGCTGTACCTACGATCAGGGTCTTTATGGAAGATCCTCTTGTCAAAGCATTCTCTGGTCCCTTACCGGCAGAGGCAAGGGATCCCGAGAACAACTTCGGCCAAGAAATCGTCGACGCCTTGTCCCTCATCCGGACTCTCATGCCAACTCTCGACAAAGCCATCCACCCCTTCATCATGGAGAAGGTGCCGTTGGTTATCAAGGCCTTGCACTCGGAGCTGTCCGTCTTCCGCTACATGGCCGCGAAGTGCATGGCCACCATTTGTAGCGTCATCACAGTCGAGGGCATGACAGCGCTCGTCGAGAACGTCTTGCCATCCATCAGCAACCCCGTTGACCTCAACTTCCGCCAAGGTGCTATCGAGGCCATCTACCACTTGATTGCAGTCATGGGTGATGCCATTCTTCCTTATGTCATTTTCCTTATCGTTCCCGTGCTGGGCCGCATGAGCGACTCGGATAACGAGATCCGTCTAATTGCGACAACCTCATTTGCCACTCTCGTCAAGCTTGTGCCCCTCGAGGCCGGCATCCCCGACCCCCCTGGTCTGTCGGAAGAGTTGCTCAAGGGCAGAGATCGCGAAAGAACCTTTATCTCACAACTCCTGGACCCGAAGAAGGTGGAATCGTTCCAAATCCCTGTTGCAATCAAGGCAGAACTTCGCTCATACCAGCAAGAGGGTGTTAACTGGCTACACTTCCTCAACAAATACCACTTGCACGGCATCCTTTGCGATGACATGGGTCTTGGAAAGACGCTGCAAACCATTTGCATGGTTGCCAGCGACCATCATCAGCGTGCGGAAGAGTTCGCGAAGACGGGTGCGCCCGACGTTCGACGCCTCCCGTCTCTGGTTGTTTGTCCTCCCACGCTGTCCGGTCATTGGCAGCAGGAAATCAAGACTTACGCTCCCTTCCTCAGCGTTACGGCTTACGTTGGCCCGCCTGCTGAGAGGAAGTCTATGAAGGACAGCCTGGACAAAACCGATATCGTCGTCACCAGCTACGACGTGTGCCGAAACGACGCGGAAGTCCTCGCGAAGTACAACTGGAACTACGTCATTCTGGACGAGGGACACTTGATCAAGAATCCCAAGGCAAAGATTACGATAGCTGTCAAGAAGTTGGCAAGCAATCACCGGCTGATTCTGACCGGCACGCCCATCCAGAACAACGTCTTGGAGCTGTGGTCTCTCTTCGACTTCCTGATGCCTGGCTTTCTTGGTGCCGAAAAGGTTTTTCTGGACAGATTCGCCAAGCCCATCGCCGCAAGTCGCTTCAGCAAGGCGTCATCAAAGGAACAGGAAGCAGGTGCCTTGGCTATCGAAGCCCTCCACAAGCAGGTCCTTCCTTTCCTGCTGCGACGTCTCAAGGAGGAGGTGCTCGATGACCTGCCGCCCAAAATCTTGCAGAACTACTACTGCGATTTGAGCGACCTTCAGAAGAAGCTTTTCGACGATTTTACCAGGAAGCAAGGCAAGAAGCTGCAAGAGGAGGCTGGTCGCGAAGACAAGGATGCAAAGTCACACATCTTCCAGGCACTGCAGTACATGCGGAAGCTCTGCAATTCCCCCGCCATGGTAATGAAGCCTGGTCACGGCATGTACGATGAGACTCAACGCATCCTTAGCAAGCAGGGAACCAGTCTCGAGGATCCTGTCCACGCTCCCAAGTTGACCGCTCTGAGAGACCTGCTCGTCGACTGCGGCATTGGCGTGGAAGAAGCCGAGTCAAACGACCCGTTGTACCAGCCGATCAAGCCGCATCGAGCTCTCGTATTCTGTCAGATGAAGGAGATGCTGGACATGGTTCAGAACACGGTCCTGAAGAGCATGCTGCCTGGCGTCACATACCTTCGTCTGGATGGTGGGGTTGAAGCCAACAAGAGACAAGACATTGTCAACAAGTTCAACAGCGATCCGTCATACGATGTTTTGCTTCTTACCACCAGTGTCGGAGGTCTGGGTCTCAACCTTACTGGCGCCGACACTGTCATCTTCGTCGAACACGACTGGAACCCCCAGAAGGATATGCAGGCCATGGACCGCGCTCACCGAATTGGCCAGAAGAAGGTTGTCAACGTATACCGTCTGGTTACCAGAGGCACACTTGAGGAGAAGATTCTTAGCCTGCAGCGCTTCAAGATCGACGTTGCCTCGACGGTCGTCAACCAACAAAACGCTGGCCTAGCCACAATGGATACGGATCAGATTCTCGACCTCTTCAATTTGGGAGACACAGGACCCAGTCTCATATCGGAGAAACCACAAAACGCGATGGAGGGACGAGAAGAAGACATGGTGGACATTGAAACGGGTGACGTTGTTACGAGCAAACAACCTGGCAAGAAGGCTTGGCTCGACGATTTAGGCGATCTCTGGGACAACCGCCAATATGAGGAGAGTTTCGATCTCGATGGTTTCTTGAAGACCATGCAGTAATAAGCCAGTCCATCACTCCAACAATCTAGAAGGAGGCTCGGTGGAAAGCATGCGTATGGAGTTCGGATTGGCATCTGGTTTAGACGAGAGAGTCTTGGATGCTCTCTCGAGATATGGAGGCATGAAACCTACCGTTTATTCCCACGCAGCAGTGTACTCATAACGAACAGTGTGTGCGAACGTCTGTAACATATGATATTAGTACTTTATGACTTGGGGGGATTGAGGACCGTGGTGAAGCAAGCAGATGAGCGTTTAGAGTACGTTAACATTCACGAATACAACATTCACCAAAAATGTACCATGACGCGTGCTATGGTTGCCGGTGCCGGTGACCAAGGTTTTGTACAGATTCCGATTACGATTCTTTGTGTTGTGCACGACCTCACCTGCCTTTCATATCTATCATTGGAAAAGGTTTGATTAGATAATGATATGGCACGATGTGGGCAACAAGACTGGGTTCCAATCTTTATGAGTTGGTGCATGCTTGGCACATACCTATACCTTACATTAGATCAAGCGAATACACTTAGTAGAAGCACCACATCGAGACG